AAAAAAAAAGTCACAATCGGGTACCTCAGCAGTCTGGTCTAACAGGCACCCAGCAAACAGTCACGTCTCAGGGACAAGAGTCACATCTCATAATAAAAAGCCATTCAGAAGAGTCACATCCCACGATTGAAAAGGCAGATTCACCAAGCAAAGGTCATGTCTTAAAGGCAGGAGTCACGTTAGTGAAAAGTCGTGACCCACGAGTAAAAGGTAGTCTCACAGGCAAAAGTCGTGCGTGACCCACAGGCAGGGGCCACTGTCCACAGTCAAAAGTCATGTTCACAAGTGAAAAGTCATGACTCAAAGGCCCAAGCAGCAGCAGTCCAATGGAAATTCGGGAAGGTTCCAGGCCTTGACATTCAGAAGCAGACATGCCGTGGGGATGTGGTACTGGAACCAGTCAGGACCCAAGAAACAGAGGCTGGCACGAGTTGAAGTGCAAACCAAGACTACAAAAGGACTGGCCAGCCTCACATTCCGGCAGATTGCTCATTCGCAAGAAGTGTGGAAGTGCTGGTGCACTTGTGCGCTGAAGTGAGGAGCAGAGCGCTGAGGCCAGAGTGCTGTGCTAAGTGAGGAAGAGAGAGGAAGATAGCGCTGGCAGGGAGAAGGCAGCCATAGCTGCGCCAGTGCAGAAGTGTTAGTACTAGCAGTTAGTAGTAAACTTCAGAGGGATTAGTAGTGTTGTCAGTGGGTGTATTCAGAGTAGATCTTTGAGTAGAAGTTAGTGTGAGTGTGCATGCTTGTAGGGAGAGAAGATTCAGCGAGGTCTTAAGCGAGGGAGAAGATCAGCAAGGAGGGGTGATACAACAGAGAGAGAAGGCAGGGAGGAAGAAGATACTTACCTGGGTGATCATATTGGATGTTTGGTTACGTATGTTATGCGCTGTTGTGCGCTGGTGACTCGGAACTCTTATTGCTCTTGTATAACTTGTTGGAATTCATAAGCTGCGTTAACTGGTCTTAATCTCTCTGGTTTCTCAGTGTGACTCTCGTGTGATCTCATACATGCATGTGGAGATTATGTGCGCTCATTGGTGTAGAACTAAGAGGTTCATTGCATATGCCCCATGCTGTCCACAAATCCCGTCCCGAGTAAAATTCAGATTTCAACTTTCACTGTTCTAACAATGTCCTGAACCAGTCCTCGAGACTAAGAGGAATGAAACCTTTTTTCTTTTTCCTTGACTGTTTCATATGCGTGACTGCAGCACTGGGGAATGATTGCCGGCCGAGTGCAGATCTGGCATCTTTTGAAGACATGCACCAACAGGCAAACTTTTAAGATAATTCAGGTTCCAGGTTGGCCATGCCATAAATAAAGAGCGCCAATGTGCACGCATAAAGATAATTCTGTTTCGGTATCTTTATATCATTTACTATTCTTTAGGCAAGTCAGGTTGGAGGTTGGTTGTTTATATCCTGCACTGTTAATTCTCTTTCAGTATCAGACTCGCTTTCTTTTCCACTCCGCACTCATGCAAACAGATGGTGAGTCACACTGGCGCTGTTGCATACCGTAACGGTGCAGACCAGAACAAGAACCGACCTCTCAAGATAGCGTAGCGAAAGACTTAGATACCAATGTTCCGAACAATCAATGTTGCAATGCAGCCCCAAACATACATCATCATCATTCCATGGTGTGAAGGGGCCTGGCGCTCACACAGGAAGAATGCACCAGTCCCCAACCATACACAGACGAAGAAGAGGGGGGTTAGATGAAGAAGAGGGGAAGATGGGAATGTCGTCAACACCAAGTCTTCGGCACAGGCCCCAAATAATCCCTCGTCAAATGTCTGAATCCCAATGTCGAGTCTGGATCCAATGTCGTCAAGTTCCAAAATCACAACTCTCTCTCTCTCTCGTAGTCCGCAGATACTGAGAAGTCAGGTAGCGAGAGGGTAAAGAAGAGATGGTGGACTTAGAACAGGAAGAAGAAGAACTCTCTCTCTCTCTCTCTCTCTCAGTCCGGTACTAACCTGTGAATTTGGCGCCTTGATGCAGGTACCTTGAAGATGAAGCTGGAGCTATGGCGCCACAGGTAAGTCTCCCTTGCCTCCGCCAGCCATCTCTCTCTCCAACGCTACTCTACTCCTACCAGCGCCCAGCGCTGAAGACTACCACTGCAGCTACTCGCGCCCAGCGCTGAAGACTACTGCCAGCGCTAAAGCTACTCCTGCAGCGCTCCTCCAGAGTGCTGCTGCCGAATCCTGAAGACTACTCCTGCCTTCTGCCTCCTGCACGTGAAGTGCCTGGGAAGTTCCTAGGAACTACGTCGTGACTGCCTGACTGCCTGCAGCCTGCAGGGCGGCCCAGTCTTATATAGTGCTGGCCCGTCCAGGAGGCTGCTCTTGCCAATGCCAAAACGTGCCAGACCCTGGTGTTGAAGTTCAAACAAAGGTTGACTTGAAAACAGGCCAAAAATGGCCTGTGCTAAAAACCCTGGTCTGGTGCCTAAGTTTCAGGGCAGGTCGACTTTATGAGGGCCTGAAAATGGCCCTCCGTTTCAGGCTGAAAGACTCAGGGCCTGGAAGGCCCTCGTTTTCAGGCTTTCAGGCTGAAACGACACAGGGCCTGTAAGCCCTTGTTTTCCGGCTTTCAGGCCGAAAACGACACAGGGCCTGTAGGGCCCTTACTTTCCTTGTTTGGTTGGGCCTTGCAGGCCCGTGTGGATGCGCAGTATGCCACAGGCGCACAGCGCCCACTCAAAGCTCGGAGGTATGAAAGTCGGAAATACAGTTCAGATACAGGCTCGCTTCAACAGGCTATGGCGCATCAGCGCCTGTACACTCCAACTCTCGTCTCCCTATCCAACACCTCTGTTCGCACTCACTCAACCCTGGATCACCCTGGATATCCCACAGGCATGCACACACTCTCGTACTCGTACACTTGTCTATCAGCTATGGCGGCGATGGCCGCTGTCCCTCTATGGCTATGGCTAACTATCTCCCTCAGCCCACTTCGTCGTCGGGCACTCTGCAGACCACCTCGCACAAGTCGCTCAGACAGCGCTTCCGCATGGCTTACGCAGGAATGAATGAATGGCTGGTCGCTGCCTCTTAATTTATACTTCTGGAAGTTGCAGGTCTGCCTCTTTCCACCGGGCCCATGGTGCACACAGTCCCTCATGGTACTTGCTGACTGGACTCAGTGAGACTGGGACTGGATACCGCTGACTCAGCAAGGGTGGACGTCACCACTTGCCCACTTGCCTCTAGTCTGCTGTGAGCAACGTTGGAAGGGCCACTTCTGGACCTTCCGGAAGTCTGTGGACTTGGCCCTTTGACATTGTAGCAGCTACGAACTTGACCTTCCAGAAGGGCTACAGCTACGACTTCTAGAACTCGCTAAGACCTCTACCCGTCAGGTCTACAGATCGAACCCCTACAACGTATGGACCTACGACAGCCTACCAACTGGTGCGAATACACAGGTCACGGGTTCACCTCTCGGGGTCGACACAGGTACTGTACACAGGTAAGGTAAGAACTAGGGATTGAGCCCTGGGATCTGCATTCGCTACTGCTAACAGGTGAATACTGTTTCAATATCGTTTACTATTCTTTAGGCAATTCAGGTTGGAGGTTGGTTGTTTATATCCTGCAATGTTTTGCCTTCACTTCACAGATCTGGTTGACTTCAGGTTGTTTCTACTAAAGATAGTAAATACCGACTGTTTGACTTCATTGCTCCTTTTGACTTCACGTCTTTTTATCGGAAGTCAAACAGATCGGTGAAGCGGTAGTCATTGTCACATATATGTTTGACTGCAGGGTGTATCTACTCCTTTGACTTCTGTTTGGCTTCTGTTTGGCTTCTGTTTGACTTCTGTTTGTCTTCAAGTTGTATCTGTTTGACTTCAAGTTGTTTCTACACCTTTGAATACTTTTTAATGGAATTAACCATAAAATCACTCCGCCAACAAAGAACAGCCATGCACCACCACCCATGTCCTCAGGTTGTCTTCAGTTTTTATCTGTTTGACTTCAGGTCATATCAAGCAGTCTTTTGACTTCATAGATCTGCTTTGCTTGCAGCAGTGGTTGTCCGAGAATCACACAGTGGTGTTCTGGATTCTTCCTCCAAAGCACGATCGATTCAGTCGCCGCAAGGAGGATGAGCTGAGACGTTTGTTCAGTAACCAGTCAGTCACTCTGAAGACATTCGGTCCCTATGAACTGGTGGAGCTACTGAATCGTCAGGAGTGGGTGGAAACAGGTGAGAGAGAGGTACGATAAAAGCCTCTTTGGTCCGCTCACCCTTTTTCTCCTCCCTCCCCCCCCCCCCCCCCGCCCCTTTTGTCTCAGTCCGCTGATCCTTGCTTGCATCTTTGAAGTTTGAACTCTTTTTTTTTCTTTCTTTTCTCCTATATCCATCTAATGATTCTAATCTCATAAGGATTTCAACTCCCATCCTTGTCTTTAGTCTTGACAATAAGTTCTCGGCAATTTTTTCGCCGTTTTGAAAGTGTAATTTGAAGTCTGGGCATTAGAGAAGTTTGGACCATGATAACCATCCAGACGTCCGGACCACGTTCCAGACAGTCCGGTGTCCGGTGTCCGGTGTCCGGTCCTTGTGTCTGGATGGAGGGCCCTGGGGCAAAAAAAAAAAAAAAAAAACGGGGCGGCCCAGGACGTTATCGGGTCCTGGCCGCCCCTCGAAAAATAACGGGGTGATTTTTCAGTGTTGTTTCACCCCACCGGACAGGGCCTGGAGGTCTGGTGCAATCAGACTCGCTTTCTTTCACACTCACGTGCATGCGAACAGGCACACAGCAAACTGGCGACAAGCGCCCACACAGAACTCAGAGATATGGTCACCGAAGACACAGTCCAGATACAAGTTCTGTAACGAGCGTGAGTCTAAGGGTGAGCCGAGGGAGAGGAGAGAGAGGGAGAGAGTGAGAGCACACACACACACTCACTCACTCGACACGACTGACTCGGACTGAGGATCGGACGCAGACACAGTGGCAAGGCACAAAGTCGAAGTCTTGGATTCCGAATGCCGAAACAGCAAGTCACACTGAGTACGAGTACAGCAACAGGGAACTGGTACGAGACTGGTCCCCGTACCGTACGGGGAGCCGGTATAAGTACCGGTGACACGTACGGTACCAGGGGTATTTCTGCAAAGGCC